GCCAAATCTGGACCCATACACTACATTTGGACAACTGTAGACTAAGAGCTATAATTAAAGCCCCCAACCAATCGTTCGGTAGCAATAACCGGGCTTAGAAAAATAATACCCATAAAAGAAATAGAAGATAACATATTTCGGGGTAATATTTGAATTGAAGAAAGCTCTATAAATCTCGAATCACAAAAGCAACTTAAATCCTAAATCACGAGCCAACATCAACCCAACTTAGGAGAAAGAACACCAAACAGAGGAGACAAACTCTCACTGGAAAGCCAGACCGACAACAAGAGAGTGTTAGAAAAAGTTTGGGGGAAAATAATGAAATTGTCATCAAAATATAGGCAATACAAAACAGACTCGATAGACTCAAATCTATGTAATTTAATCTATGGATAAGACTAAATCTAAATATAAATTTACTAAATCTAAAACCGAATATTTAAAATATCTCTAACATATCTCAACATCCCCCTTCAAACTCAAGTGGGTGCCGTAGAAACCAACTTAATTTTGTCCAAGAGAAATCGAAAGCGACTGGGAAGAAGAGAATTGGTGAAAATATATGTTGTTTGATCTGCAGAGGAGACCGACATGAGATGGACAGCACCACCAACGACATGTTGTCGAATGAAGTGACAGTCAAGCTCAATATGCTTGGTGCGCTCGTAAAAGGTATCATTGTGGGCCATCTTTATAGCACTCTGACTGTCGCAGTGAAGAGCCGTAGAAGATGACTGAGGAACACCAAGATCATTGAGTAATCGACGAAGCCATAAAAGTTCTGACGTAGAGTCAGCAAGGACACGATACCCCGACTCGGCACTCGATTGAGAAACTAAAGTCTGCTTCTTGCTGCGCCAAAAGACGAGAGAATCACCCAGGAAGAAGCAGAAACCAGTAGTTGAACGATGATTACTAGGATCACCAGCCCAATCAGCATCAGAGTAACCACTGAGAGTCAAAGACGAGTGAGAGGAAAAGTGTAAATTATGCAGAAGAGTACCTTTCACATAACGAAGAATGTAAGACGGCAGAGTGGTGAGAGGTTCTCGGAGCGGCCATGAACTGACTCACAATGACCTGCATGAGCGATATCTGGTCGAATGGCAGTCAAGTAGATCAAGCTCCCAACAAGTTGACGATAAAGGGTAGGGTCATCAAGAAGAGAGGCATCACGCAGAGTAAGTCGAACGCCGTAGGCAAGTGGTGTAGAGGCTACCTGACAGTCTGTGAGACTAGCTCGAGCAAGGAGATCGGAGGCATACTTAGCCTGAGAGAGAAAGAGACCATCGGAAGAATCACAGACTTCAAACCCCAAGAAGTAACGAAGGGGACCCAAACTCTTCATCTCAAACTATTGGCTAAGATATGTCTGTAGATCAGAAATACCAGACGCATCATCTTCCGTAATAATCATATCATCAACATAAAGAAAGAGTATAATTATCCCAGATGAAGAACAACGAAGAAATAGGCCAGATTCGTAAGCTCGTGTGGTAAAATCAAAACTCCAATAGTACAATGCTAAATGTGGCATACCAAGCCCGAGGGGCCTGCTTCAACCCATATAAAGCGCGATGTAAGCGACAAACCTTTCCAGAGGACGAGAAACTTGGAGGGGGAGTCATATAAACTTCTTCAGAAAGTAAGTCATGTAATAATGCATTCTTGACATCTAACTGAAGAAGAGACCACTAACGAGCAGCAGCAACGGAAAGAAGACAAACGAACAGTAGTGAGACGAGCAACGGGAGCAAATGTCTCCTCATAGGGTGTGTTTGTTTGGGGGTTTGGATTTTGGATTGGGATTTGAATAGTAAAAATTTTGAATTTGAATAGTTGTATGATGTGATATAAATAGGGTTTGATGTGATGTTTTGAATGTAAAATTGATTTTTAGTATAATATAAAAAATGAAAAATAGGTGTTTGATTTGATATTTTTGGGAGGAAAAAATTGGATGAATAGTGAAAATCCTCCAAAATCCTTCAAACAAACACACCCATAGTAAACTCCATACTCCTGGGAATAACCTTTGGCCACCAGACGAGCCTTGTAGCGCTCAATGGAACCATCAGAATTAGTCTTGATTTTGAAAATCCACTTGCACCCAATAGGTGTCTTGCCGGAAGGCAAATCCACTAAATACCAAGTGTGAGGTTTTGCGAGAGCCTCCAATTCCTCCGTCATAGCTTGTTTCCATAATAGATCAGCACTTGCCTCACGAAATGACCTAGGCTTATGATGAGATAATATGACAGAATAACAATGATAATCACACACATGAGGAGGAGGGTGACTCACTCTATGCGATCGACGAGGTATGACAAGTCCAAGGACCGCAGACAAATCATCATCTAGAGTCAAGGTCGAAGGTGGATCAAAAGCCTCAACTGGAGGTAGATCAGAAGCCTCAATTGGAACAGAATTCGGAGGCGGTGATGGAGCCGTAGGATCAGGATCAGGAAACAAGGGAGGACATGTCGACAGAAAGGAAGGTGGACTAGGAATAAATAGGACATGAAATTTAGACATGGTGGAAAATATGACACTCCCCCAAAAGGTAACATGACGAGATATACACAACCTTTTTTTTAGAAATCGGATCCCAAAGCCTATAACATTTATGCTCTGACCCATAACCAATAAGACAGCATACATGCGCACGAGGTTCCAATTTTGGAACGTTCATGCGGAGGGATAGTGACAAAACCGACAACCGAAAGGACAAATGGTACTATAATCGGGTGGCTGACCGTATAGACGCTCGAAAGGGGTGCTATTATGGAGGACAGATGATGGAATGCGATTTATGGTATAGACAACAGTGAGAACGGCTTCTTCCCAGAACCTATCAGGACAAGAAGCAGACAAAAATTGATGCACGAACAATATCTAGAATGTGACGCTCGCGCGACCATTCTGTTGAGAGGTGTATGGACAGGAACGTTGAATCAATGTACCTTGAGCAGAGAGAAAATTTAATAAGGTAGAATCTCTATACTCAAAGGCATTATCAGTATGGAGGGTCTGTATAGGACAAGAAAATTGAGTTCGAACCGTTTGAGCAAATTGAATATATGTTTAAAGTAATTCTGAACGGTGTTTCGAAAATATATCAATGTAAAACGGGAGTTATCATCTATGAAAACGATATAATAACGACACCCACCCATAGAGGGAATAGGGGAAGGACCCAAAATATCATAATGAACTAAAGAAAGCGGTTTACTTGCGACCGACATATTTTCTGAAAAAGATAAGACTGGTTGTTTTCCATAATGACAGTGTAAGCAATCAAATGACTCAAAACGGATAGGACCTAAATGACCATTAATAAGAGAGATTGAATTTTAGAGGTAGACGCATGACCAAGACGAATGTGCCATTGAAGACTAGGGGAAGAAAATGTATTAAGAGGGATCTGAGTAGCAACAACAGAGAAATTACTTGGAGGAATTTTCAAAGATTGTACTTCAAATAGTTGACCCACTTTTCGACCTGTTCTAAGAATTTGATCCGTAAGTGGATTCTGAACCTGCACACCAGAAAAAGAAAAGGTAACAGTAAGTCCTTACTCAACTAGTTGGCCAACTAATACAAGATTTAAAGTCAATTGAGGAACACAACAAGTATAAGGAGATATGAATGGTAGAGATACAGACTATGAATGAGTGATTTCCATGCGATTTCTGTTAGTAGTATGTATAGGCTATGAATGAGACATAGGATGCGCATCAGTCAAGAGGTCAAGTGTAGGTGTCATATAATGGCAACAACCAGAATCAAAATACCACGAATTTTTAATAACAGAAGGGGAATTTGAAGTAAGAACTTGATGGACGAGAGTCACGGGATTCTAGACTGAGGAAGCCATGACAAATCAACTCCGATGACAACCAATCACGCCGGTATAAATCAAGAAATTAAGAAATCAAATCGAACAATTCAACCGGTAACAATCGAAAAACAAAATTAACCACACCACAACGTAGGGAGCCAAAGCAGGAGGCGGCGGCGAAAGTGTTTTCCTCCGTGATTTGATTTTTCGGTTGCAAGGTCGCCAGGCGACGACAGTTCTAACGGTAAGGGCGGTGTCGACCGGAGAGCGGCGATGGACGGCGAACAGCGGCGGCGGCGGCTAGGGTTTGTTTTGAAAAATCGGGTTCTGATACTATTGTAGAAATTTTGGAAAAAATAATAAAATTTTCTTGTTGATCATCAAAATAAGGAGCCTATATATATATATATATATATGCAATACAACACAGACTCGATAGACTCAAATTTAAGTAATATAATCTATAGATAAGACCAAATCTAAATATAAATCTACTAAATCTAAAACCAAATATTTAAAATATCTCTAACATATCACAACAGAGAGAATGGTGCGGCGGCGGACGGCGAGTTGCAAGACAAGATTGGGTGGGTGACGGGATTAGGGCAGCTCTAATACCATGTAGAAGATCGATGTTTTCATTCACGTCAAACTAATTTTTACAATATACAAAAAATTTATATTATATACAACTATCCCAAATACCTAAAAAGCCTTTATACTATACAAATACAAAAAATCCCTATGCATAATATATCTAACATAGCCTAAAACTAACTTGTGCACATTATTTGTAATTTAGTAATTGGTATTAGAGGGTTTCCCTAACTCGTAAGAAATTGCTTAAATTTATGAATATATACTTCTCCTATCCTTCAAATATGTGCTCATGGTTTCTTTTATTGTCATATCTCGTTTTAGTATAGAATCACATATACATTGTCTTTTTTGTACTCTTTTATTATAAAAGATAAAAAATGTCCCAATTATTTACCCATATTAAAATTTGTAGCAAAAAATATGGGCATATTTTACACAACGGAGTGAGTATAAAAAACACTGTGCTCTGGATATAGTAAATAATTCCGCAAGTTGTTACGAATGTGATCGATTCATTGTTCTCGTAAGTATTTAATGCATGGAGATGTGGATTTAGGAGTGGAGCTGCCCTGAGGCTGGCGAGGTATTGAAGAAGTACAATGTGCCCGATTGGCCACTGCTTGCGACGTATTTGATCAGTGAAGCAGGATTCATGAACTCTTCGAGATGGAAAAATTACATTGCAGCCTTGCCGAGGCAACCCTATTCACTTCTGTATTGGTGAGATTCAATTTAATGGTCAGATGAGGACTTTGTTATCCTCTCAAAACATGTTGGGTCTGTGCTCAGTTGGTTTCTCTACAGCAGCTACATGTAATTTCAGGACGCGTTCGGAACTAGATAAATATCTGGAAGCCTCTCAAATAAGACAACGAGCAATCGAGAGGATCAATGATGTTACTGGGACGTATGCATTCTTCTCTTTCATCAACTTACATTATAATCTATCCTTTTGCTGCGTACTAAATTTCATATTTAGATAAGAAATTATCGTGCATTCTGGCCGCTTATCGCTGGATAACATCTTGTGCAGATACAATGACTTGAACGACAGGATATTTTCCAGGTATCGCGATTTATTTCCTCAGCAGGTAATTAATTATCTATGATGCGTCTACGTTTCATAATTGGGCGGCATATGCTCTGTTCTCGTAGCTTGAATTTGGTTCATACTTTGTTGAACTAAATATTTATTACCATAGCTAGAGCTTCGAATTTTGTTTTACTTGTTTCTATTATTTGTTGCAGGTATTCAATATGGAGACGTTCAAATGGTCATTTGGCATTCTTTTTTCACGCTTGGTACGCTGTATTAGATACAATCGAAAAGTTTACCTTTTGTTATATCTACCATCTGCGGAGGCTGGTATTTGTCGTCCAAGTATGGTTTATATTTAACTTACGTTTAATTGTGATAGGTACGCTTACCCTCGATGGGTGGAAGGGTTGCATTGGTTCCATGGGCAGATATGCTGAACCATAGTTGTGAGGTATGACAATTGTTAGACTTATTTTCTTCCCTTTATCAGTTGTTTCAATGTTAAATAACCATCTCATCTTACAATTTTTTTTACGGAGGAGGGCAGTGGGTTTCTTACACGGACCTCCCGCTTTGATACTATACTAATTAATAAATGACAATTTCACCTAAAAGTTTAAGCTAGTAGAAATTTTGTAAGTTTTATATAGTCTTTCAAGAGATATTAACCATATGTTGATTGGCTTAATTGTTTAGGTAGAAACATTTCTGGATTACGACAAATCCTCCGAGGGAGTTGTGTTCACAACAGATCGAGCGTATCAGCCAGGTGAGCAGGTATTCAATCTTCGGGAATAAGAACTCATATCTACATGATAGTCCAAATTTCATGAGAAAAGCTTTATATTGATAGCCCTGTTTCTTTTATTGATTTCCTGAGATAGGCAGTATACCGGATTGGTGATTTTTGTCGTTGGATTTTTGACGTAGTTACAATGCTTTCAGGTATTCATATCATACGGTAAGAAATCCAACGGGGAGCTCTTACTTTCATATGGATTTGTTCCACGGGAAGGAACTAACCCTCGGGACTCGGTTGAGTTGCCTCTGTCCCTCAAAAAATCGGATAAGTGTTTCAAGGAAAAGGCGGACGCTTTGAAGAAATACGGGTTATCCACGTGAGATCCTCATAAACTCTTTGACGTTTCTACGATTCAATAACGACCAATTTCAGTTGCTCTAATTTTCATCGACCACCCATCACAGATCACAATGCTTTCCGGTGCAAATCACCGGTTGGCCAGTGGAGCTGATGGCGTATGCTTATTTAGCAGTAAGCCCTCCGAGTATGAAGAGACAGTTTGATAAGGTCTGGTAAAACTTCATTTCTTACGTAACGGTAATCATGAATGGATAGCAGAAATGTTGTTGACGAATTCTAGCAGATTGCTGCTGCTGCATCGAACAAGACAACGTCCAAGAAGGATATTAAATTCCCCGAAATAGAGGAGGAAGCGCTGCAATTTATTCTGGACACAGTCGAGGCCAGTATATCAAAGTACTCGAAGTTCCTTGAGGTTAGTTCGGAAAGAGATTCAGCTATTGATCGTACTAAATCTGATTGGACTGCACTAATCCACTCCTCCTCGGCAGGAAAGTGGATCGATGGATTTAGACGTGACGAGTCCTAAGCTTCTGAACCGAAAAGTGTTCTTGAAACAGCTGGCAATGGATTTATGCACCAGCGAACGGAGGATACTGTATCGCGCTCAATCTGTAGGGAGTTTCTCTCACTCTTGCCTCGAATTCGTAATTTTTTCACTTGCTTTAACCGGAATACATGCATCGTGTGTTTTAAAGTTTTTGATGCTTTATTTTCAATTCTTTTTCTACTATGTTTGTTTTCTCTTATGTGCTGAAGATCGTTTTTGGATGCAAATACACGACTATAGGACACAAAACAATGATAATAGTTAATTAGATCCAATGATAGCTCTAAAATACTATTATGTGTTGGGATATTTTATATATTTGGTTTATAGTTTACATTAAGTTTATTTGGTTATATAAAATTAGATTAGATTGTTATTATTTGAGTTTACGACGTATACTTATATATATATATATGTGATTTCATTATTAATAGTCTAAAACTTTGAAATTCTGCAAAATGTAAAATCGCAACAGCATGGTGTTTTACTATCTAGGTGCCTGTGTTCGCCATTGTGTTTCATTTGCTTGTTGAGTTTAGTCGGTGTCGCCGAATCTAGATTTTGATGACGAATGCCTTTACAAACATAACACTGACTACATTATACACTGCTGAGCTGAAGCTGAAGCTGATGATATTGATGATGGTTGTATTGTATTGTTGTCTGTTGCATCAGATATTAAGGAGAAGGCTGAGAGATATAAGAAGTGGTGAGCTAAGGGCTCTCAAGATTTTTGATGGCTTCAGAAACTTGTTCAATTGAATCATCACCTCTCTCTCTCTCTCTCTATGTATATTGTCTATTGCTGAAGATAAAACCTGATCCAAGGAGAGGATTCTGCATTTTTTATCTTTATTTTTTATGGTTCTTCGGATCAATTATTTGAGATCCTTATATGTTTTTGGTTTTGTTGTTTCACGTGATATCTTATTAGGGAAAAATATTCTCTGGTATTAATATATATATATATATATATTTCTTCTTATTAATTTTGAAATATTAGTATTTTATATATAATAGATATAGATGCATACCGTATAATAAAAAGATGGAGAAGATGAATATACAGATTTTACTTAAGGAATGATTTGTAAATTAGTTAAAGTTATTTTTACAGCACTATCATAATACTAGGTAAGATGTAAGCTTAGTTAATACTCCCTCCGTCCCTTAAATCATATTTTTGATATATGATATGGTATTTAAGGTAGTGTAGTTTAGTGAGTTAAAATAGTGTAATTTAATAAATTAATGATAATGCTTTATGATATTATTTTATTTATTTTTTATATAGATATTATTGTTAATAATTTTAAAATATTATTTAAATTTTAGTAAATTTACTTTATTTTAAAATCTAATGAATTAAAATGTTTAGGTAAATAATAATTTTAACAGTGAAATATTTATATTAAATTAAAAATTAAATTCATAATTTTAGTTATCAAAATTATTTTTAATAATAAGAAAACAATTGGATAATGGCTAAATAGTAGTTTACTACGCAGTAAAAAAAAAAATATTTTTAAGCCAAAAATGGTGCTTTTAAATTATGAGTTGATTGCTAGTATTTTTCTGAGAGAAAAGAGAAGTTTTATTCGATATATGATTTCATCAATCAATTGTTCTAAAAGTACTGTTTGAATGTGGATTTCAAATAGAGCTTTGAAAGCACAAACAAATGCTCTCAAACTAGATTTGACAGCACCAAACAAGCTATTCAAACTGCAGTTTGCACTTGAATAACTTGTTTAATCTTTATTTTTAATAGAATAAGTCATTTAATTTAAATGTATGGATAACGTTATACACATAGATGAGAAGTGGTATCATTAGAGGTTCACATAGATTATATATGAATCCGGAAGAGGAAGATCTACGTGTCAAAATAAGGCATTTATTATCAAGATTATATTCATGTGTGCAGTCTCAAGACTACTATATGGGACGGATGGTTTGCTGATTTTTTATGAGAAAATCGGTATCTTCCCATTCACTTACAAAGAAGTTGCAAAAAGAAGTAGTAAAGAAACTTGCTTAAATTGACAAAGTAAATATACTACTTTGAGTTTATACGATGTTAGAATAAATAAGGTTAGATTGTACTAGTGTTTCAAACTAACAAAGTCCAAGTTATTCTATTTTACTAGATGTTTTCACTAACTTTGAAAGATTGGATGTGTCCATTATTTATGTTTCAATGTTTTGATGTAATATCTCAGCCATAAAAAAGAAATGTCAGCCAATATAACAAAAAGAATTTATATTTAGCAATATAACGCTAGACCACATATAAAAAATAATGATGCCGATTTTAGAAAAATTGCCACAAATGATGGATTTGACATTATTTTAGTACAACAACCTCCCAACTCTCCAAATTTGAATATTAATGATCTTGGATGATTTAGGGTAATACAAAGTATTTAAATTGAAAAGGATTGCACCAATGTGGACGAGCTAGTGAACGCAGTGGTGTTATCTTTTAAAGAATTGACAGCTGAAAAACTAAACAAAGTTTTTTTGAACTTACAAGAGTGCATGATTGAGATAGCGAATAGTAGATGACAAAACAAGTAGAAAATTCCACATAAAAAATGATGCACTTATTAGGCAGGATGCTCTACTAGACACCTGAATGTGACTAATGATTTGGTGATTAATTGTCTCACATACTTTATGAACAAAGGAAAAGAAGATTGTGCTATGCTTTTGCTGACCGAAGTACAAAATGCAATTATCTCTCCCTTCTTAATGATAACTTTTACTTAGTAAGGAAACAATGAATTTTTTATTTTTTTTTGAAAACTTATATATGTATTGATATTACATGAATAGTTACGTTTCCATGCACATTTTGTAAATTTCATACTGTACGCACATGATACATGGATATGTATGTGACTCAAGACTTTTTTTTTTTTTTTTGTAATGTAAGTATTTGGAAAAAATCTTCAATTTTTATAGAAGTTCATCATAGTCACATAAAGGAACCAATGGCATTATATTCTTACCAAAAGACAGCCACCAAACTGTGTAAGGTTACTACCATCTCAATTAGTATATAGTCATTTCTTTAACATTATGTATATTGTGAGATGTTGCATAGTAGCATATCGTTATATTCATCAAATGCAACGAAAAAGACCAACATATAACAAGGAACACATAATCAACACAAATTAGACATAAATTTTCATAGAGCATAAAATCTCATATGAGTACTATATTATGAATAAAATTTCCAAGTGAGAAATATAATTTGTATATCACAAAATCAACAAAGAGAGCATCAAATTGCAGAAATTAAAAGAAAATTGAGGCATAATTTCTCTAAACATGAAAATTTAGCATAAATCACTAAAGATAATTCTTAGTCTCACATAGTGAAAATTGAGGGGAAGTAGAGCTATTGAAACTCTTCTACGATTTTTAAAGACTGTTTGAATACTAATGGTGAATATGCGCAAAACCAAGATTGGAATCTACCCAGACCTTGATAGCCATGTAAATTAGGGGTATCAGTCACATAGCCAGAGAGGTTCACCTGGTCGTACCAAGCAACGTCGCTACCCGATTCATAGGCGTAATAAGTTTGAGGAACAAACTCACTATATTCAACAGTCGACACCACCGATGGAAAAGACAATCCGGTGATCCCAGAATCGAAACCGATGACTTCTCCCTTCGACATCCTCGGCAGCAAGGTGGCGGCGACTAACCAGGAACTATCAGAAATCGGACTTAGGGTGGAATACATCGATGAAGACAATTAGGATTTTTGTTTGGAACGAGAGAAATTGTGAGGCTATTAGATTTTTTTAGAATTTAATTATTTGTTTCAATTATAAATCGTGGATATGGGCGTGGGTGTGTTAGTGTGTATTTATTTATTTATATATTAAAAATTATTCATTTTATATTAATAATAAAATAAGGTAATTAATTTTAATGGTTATTGTTAATTATATTTTGATTTGATAAACTTTACTAAAAATAAAAAATGATCATTTAAAGTGGGACAACTGAAAATGAAATAGTATCATTTCAGGTGGGACAGATAGAGTATTTGTAGATGATAAAAATATGATAGATATGGAATTAAAAATTCACCCTGATTGTATATAGCATATAACAATAATAAAAATAAATAAATGCATGAAAAAAAAACTATTTCCTACAATTTAGGTATGTGATTCATTATTCGGTAATAGTTTTATTTGACTACTTCAAAACCTATAGCATATTCCAATAAATTCTTTCCTTTTAAACTTAAATGTTGAAAGTATTCGGTTTAATCTTCTAATTCCTGCACTTCAAGTAAACTTTGCAGCTTGACAAATGTCTCTAGTGTAACAAGTTTTGTCATGCTGTTAGCGACTTATTTTTTGGTTCCACAAAAGATTAATTTCACAGTTCCTATGTGTGAGATCTCACAAATAATGATATCTCTCATCAATAAATTTGGTCTTCCTATATATCACCAAATTTCTTGACAACTTAATAGGTGAACTATTATCACAAAGAATGTCAAGAGTACCACACTTCTTGTTACTAAAAAACTCCTTCAGTAATCCTTTCAACCACACATGGTGGCAACTAGATATTTGGCTTCAATAAATGATATTGTGGCAGTTGGTTGCTTTTTTGAATTCTAACAAATTGTAGCCCCCTCTAAGACAAAAACATAACTTGATGTACTTCTTCTATTGTATGCATTTCTTGCATAATCAGAATTCGTGAAGGAAAATCTCTAATTTGTTTTCTCTTCAATTATTTTCAAATATCTTGGTATCATGTTGGTTGCAAGTAGATGATCTTCTTTTAGTTTAGACAGAAAACAAGACATTAGAAACATTGCATACATCATGTCTTTCCGTCCGACCGTTAAATACATTAAACTACCAACCAATTGTTTGTACAAACTAAAATCAACTTCTCTTCATGTCTTTGTTTAGTTAGAATAGTACCTAAAATTACTCATTTCATATTTTTCTAATACATTCTTTTCATATTTATTTTGGCACAAATGAATCCCATTTGAATACAAATATATTTCTATGCAGAGAAAAAACTGCATCATCCCTAGACTCATCATCTCAAATTCTTGTTTCATAGAACTCTTAAATGCTTCACATTTCTTGACATCATTCTTAACATAGATTAAGTCATCAACATAGAGATTTACCAAAACAAGTTTTTCACCAATCTGTTTGATGAACAAAGTATGATCATAATTGCTCATTATGAATCCAATGCACTTAAAAGTAGTCTTCAATCCGACTAAACCATGCTTTAGGAGTTGTTTTACTCTGTACAGCGCCTTCTTCAGTCGATACATGTTGTTTTTTCCATTTTATTTGTAAATCTTGGGGGTTGCTCAACGTATACAACTTCATCTAGTTCTCCGTACAGAAGGATATATTTTACAACAAGTTAGTACACCTTTCATCGGTGCGTACAGCTACGGCCAAAAAAGTTCTGATGGTGTCCCATCTGGCCACTGCTGCAAACTCTTCGTTGAAGTCGATTCTTTCCTATTGAGTATGTTTTTTTGTGATCAGACTCGCTTTGTTTATCAACATTCCTATGCTCATTTAGCTTGATGTTGAACACCCACTGTGACTCTTCTAAGACTTGAGGATTTATTGGTTAAGTTGTTGCATCTTGTGTTGTAATATTAGCGTCACCAAGACCTTAATCTTCATTGTGTAGTGTGGTTGTGGAATGATCTTAATGTTCTATGCTATCCAAATATAAACATTCAAAATTTCAATTCCGCATTGCTTATTCATCAAATACCGCAACTTGACTAATAATCACCCTTTTATGTGATATGCGCTAAGCTTTGGATTCAGTACTTACCCCAAGTAGAATACATTTATGACTCTTGTCATCCAACTTTTTTCTTAGTTGTTTGGGCACATGCGCATGCCCAATACAATCAAATAATTTAAAGTAATCCAAAAATACTTTGATATTTCCTTTTTTGCAAGCAATCATCTAACAATGTTCATTATGATATGATTTCATTTTTTAGCCATGCCATTTTGTTGGGAAGTGTAAGCGGCTATCATTTGTCTTTTGATTCTATATAGCTCACAAAACTTATTGAAAGCATGCGAAGTGAACTCGCCTCCCCAATCGTTGTGCAAACAACGTATATGACCATCTACATCCTTCTCCACTAATTTTGAAGTTTTTGAACATATCAAGAGTCTTGTCCCTTCTTGAGAGAAATTAGACCCTAGTCTTGCTAGAAAAAATCATCAACAAATACTAAGGTGTACCACTTGGAAAAGTTGGGCTTATTGGACCAATAGATCTGTGTGTATTAGTTGAAGCTTTTTGGATGCTCTCCATTGACTATTCTTTGGTATCGTTGCATAATGTTGCTTGCAAATATTTCATACTTTGCATACTTCAACATCACCTTTTAGTTGAGGTATTTCCTTCAACATTTGTTTATTCTGCCTAATTTTAATTTCTTTGTTTCTTAGGGGACCATATCTTTTATAACAAAAATATGTTATTGTTTCCTTCTTGTAACCAAGACAATTGTGAATAAGAGGCCTCCTGATTGCATATACCACGAACATTCGATTTGAGGTTATCGTAGTTACTACAATAATCTTTTTTAAAGGATGATACATTGTACGAATTCCAACCTTAATAACAAAATAACGAAGGTCATTCCCTTCTCTTGTAGTTGTCTGATACTCAAAAAATTAGTAGACAATTTTGAAACGAAAAATATATTTATAATGTGTATTGTTCCCTCAATCTCAAGTTAGATACTACCATTTTCGGTGACTGTTACACTTGAGTTAACCAAGCTTCACCGTGTGACTAGAATTCTCATCGATTCGGATGACCAATCTCTATTGCTATCATATGATTTGAGCATTCAGAATTCAAATACCATTCTCTTTGACTAGAAACTTTTTTTTACCTCAGTGTGGGCCATTAAAAGCAACTTTTCTTCTTAATTGAGATCAACATAGTTGATACCTTGTCAATGTGAGGACATTCGTATAGAAAATGGCTAAAACGATGACATTGATAACAATGGATAGTAATTTTATTGATATTCGACCAGATTTTTCCTCGACCTCTTCCACATAGGTGGTTGTCACTCCCCCTATAAAATATGCCTCTAGCTCTGTCTTTGCCTTATTCATTTGTGGAACCATGCTCAACATTCAACATGTGCTCATGATCACCCTGACTTCGCAACTTTTTTTATGCACAAGCAAAGAGCTTTGTAGTTCATCGACATTTAACTTATCAATATTTTTTGAGTCCTCGATCGAGTAGACGACAAAATTGAAGTTCTCAGTCAACGTTCGTAGTATCTTCTCTACTATCTTCATAACCTCTATAGTATCACCATTGAACAATTTCTCGCATCATTCTCCATCCGGTATTGCTATTCACTATTAAGGATTTATATGTTTTTCTCAATTGATGTTTTTATCCGTTTACGGCTATCATCTTGTAGGGACACTGTATGGCAGCAGGGCGTCGTCTCTATCTCGTCTTATACCGTTCTACAACTACTATTTGACGAAGCTGTGAAAGGCGAAGTCATCAACGTGTACCTACATCATCTATGCAGCAATGAATATCAGCTCCAACACAATCCGCAAGTGTGGTGTGGTTGTGTGCCATGGTTCGTAGCGGTGAGTATACTATTTGGAATTTATACGGTTAGTATTACAAATCACACTGTTATTATTGCTTTGGTTAATTTGTTTGATTTTCAGAAAGCCGTGAACAACGCGCTATCACGACCAAGCAGGGGAGCGAAAAAGCCGATCATCAATAGGGGTAATGTGGTCACGTTTGCCAACTCACTGCAAGTGACTGTAGGCCAAAAGATCGCCGGAATTATGGACAAAATCTGGTCTGGGTGCCGGTACATATTTCTACCCGTACACACCCGGTTTCACTGGCATCTCTGCATATTGGATACCGTCAAACACGTTATGCTGGAGTGTAACTCAATGCGCGACTCCTTCGGCCAGGGGAATGCAAAGAAATTGGTACGTCTGTGGAATGATTATAATTAATTGCCTATGGATAGGTTGAATTCCTTAACGAAATAGTAACGTTATTTGTGCAGACGCGATTTTTATCATTGTACATGAACGCGTCACGACTATGGCCTATGGTCAGCGACACACCCGAGTACATTAGATTCCAACACCAGGGTGAAACGCTAGACTGTGGACCTTTAGTCTGCATGTTCGCAAAGTGTTATGCGCGGGCGGGTCCAGATGTCAATCTCGTGGGCGTCCTCGGCGAGGACTTCGACAATGTCAAAAGCTACCGAGGCACGATTGCGGCAAGGATATTGAAAGGTCCCCCTATGAGGCGTAGACCCCGATGGAAAAACATGGCAGGTTAACACATGTAATGAATATGGATTGATTTGGGAAGTTCTTGCGTTGTGTGGCGAGGTGATGGATTTGTTTAATGTCTTCAATTTGGATTGATATGGGAAGTTATTGCATTGTGTATCGATGTGATGGAATTGGTAAATGTCTTTTATGTTGATTGATTTGGCATTTTCATTATATATTTGCGATGTGTGGCGATACCCGTTGATAGCTTTTATGTGCCTACATTAAACTAGTATGTACTTCCATTTATATATTACATGCTCCAGTCACCTATGTTTGTGGGACCGGCCTTTTCTTTTGCACTGATCACTGAATTAGCGTTTACTTTGAATCAATTCAACCGTGTCAGCGTTTCTCGTGAAACCCTACTGGACGCCATGTTTTAATCAACCGGTGAAACTGTAAGGGCTTGCCTGTTAATTGAAATCAAACACTATGAAAACAACATGATAATATAAAAATAAAATATTTGTGCGGGACATGCGTGTCTGGTAATTTCGTGTGTGCCAACGTCTGAATTACAATCAACTATTTCTTGCGGAGTGCTAAACAACACGTGGTTACAGATAATTGCTACTATACCTACAACTAGGATACCTACAACTACAACACAGATACCTGCATACGCAATCTATGTACCTCGTTCAACGAGTCTGGTACTCGGCTCAGATGCATACGTAACGGAGTCATTAATACAAATACCCTATATTATCTATTATGTACCTACGACAATAGTTTTTATACTTCCGTTACCATTTCAAATGCTCTGGTATCCTGTGGGTGGAGACTCGGCCTTTTCTCTTGAAATATTCACCAAATGACGCTAAAATTGTATTGGTTTAACCATGGTAGTGTTTCTCGTCAACTCCATAATCTTGAATGGCGTGTCTTAGGCCACAGATAAAACTTACAGCGGTTACCCTTAATTGAATTAGAACGCAATGGAATAGACATGATAATATAACCACAATATAGTTGTGTGGCATATGGAAGTTTGGTACTTAGCTGTGTGCCGAATTTTAATCATTACTACACCTCCAAGTTATTACACGGTAATACAATTTAAATACCGTATAAACAACATGAGATCTGGTTTGTACTCGGACCACAACCCTATATGTTGGAATCATTAATGTATATACCCTCCGTAAGCTACTACGTACTTACAACAACGGTGTACAACAACCGTGACATTATACTTCAATTGCGATTATGTATGCCTTGGTTACCTGTGGCTAGGGAAACGGTCTTTTTTTACTTCAAATAGCATGTATTTACTACTGATGGTTAAAGAAGGCATCAAAAAATACTTAAGTTGTATGACATATGCAGTTGGTTAGTATGACGAATTTAATACAACTATAACTCCTAGTAATAACCAAAAAATAGAATAGCATGTACCTTCGAAACAATTAGATATTACATTAACCATCCGTCCCTACAGAGCTACATCATCAAATGCCTCAGTACATGAAAAATATACCTGCAGAATATAACTACGAACCTCCACAACTTCATTATATACCTGCGTGAGAGGGCTACATACCACTTACTACTGCAAATAAGTCGGTGGATCAAACCGGTTACATCCTAGAGACACAAAAAGCAATTACAATATACCTATTGGATACATACCTACTGTCTTAATATATACTCCTGGAAGCCAAAAAGATATACAATGAAAAAAAGGTTTGTTAATCTATTCGTTGCCTGCAACTTCTTCTATTATGTCCGAGACGCCCACAACAATCACATTTTTGTGGATTCTTTACCTGCTGGGACTCGAACCTTTGCTTCTTTGGTCGGCCTGGTTGGACAGACGACGGAGGAGGGTGAATTCGGTCCGCCTGAATTTCAACAATCACGTCCATATTATGCGTCGGTACGGGATTTATTGGTTCCGGGTACGTTTTTCTGTAGCATTAAAATGCTATAATAAAGATTGCAAAAATCATAAATTGACATATTGTATTTTTCAATGCAAGCGCAGGCATGCTTGCAGACACGAGCATTTTCGCGCCTCCAAATTGACTGCGTATCTTTCATTACAATCTGTTACCTCGAATACAGCTCTAGAGGATGAACAACACTGTAGCTGTCGAGACGCCATATACGACAGTGCCAACTTGCTCTCATGTTTTGGACAGAGCCTCACGTGCATTATCTCCGACTTTTCGCGGCGTTCATTCATCATTACCATCACTTGCCTTCTAATGGTATCCAACATCCCAACGAATGGCATTGACCTTGCGGATCTCACCCAACTATTCCATGACTCAGCAATGTTATTATTTATTATTCCTCAACGAGTTCCTCTAAATAATGAATTTGCCCAACATTCTGGGTGTGATTGGGTAATGAAGTCCCGGGCCAATAGCATCGATTCGACCACAGAACTAATGTGGTCATAAAGATACCACCTGTGCCATCTTCGTTCAATCCCGAACATTCGGCCTCACCCCTGCATTACAAATAAAATAATAAGAATGAGAACTCTGTCAGATGTAAATAATTCTAATTCTATATGGTGATAAATCTTTTCTTCGTAAATAAAAAAACATGGGTACCCATCTTACTCAACCGAGTATGTCCACGGTGTATATGGTTACCTATCATGTCATCCATGGTACTCAAAAGAACAATTGCATCTATTCACCGCAGCAAGCTACATGATGCAGTAAATGCCACAGGCTACGAAAATTTCAACGTATCGATCATGGTACACCTACCTAAACCGGATTGCTAGAGGATACTAACAATCGCGTGTAAAGAACGAGTGAACATCTTTAAATACCTTCAAGACGTCATATCCCCACTACATATCTTTACAATCTCTTCAGTGGTTTGTTCTGCACCGCGCTACTACAAAATCGCAGAGACGAATACTTACTACCTACAGACAACATCGCAACAAAATACCAGGGTATTGTTGTATGCCAATATCATGAAAGAATTAGGTAACTGATAAATAAAAGGTAGGTAGCTTCTTACCAATATATCAAACTTCAAGGTATATGCATCATACCAACTAAAAGTTTGTGTATAAACAACATGCTTTCAGATGTGTTGAACATGAATATATATAAGCGCTTACAGGCTGCATTCTTTCATAAGGCACAGTTGTGACTTCATTCTATAACAAAGTTGAATAAAGACTACTTAATTACAAAATATGAGTAACATACCTGCGTCCAACCGTGCTTCGGAGAGGCACGCTCTAGTGCTCGCTCCTACACCGTGCAATCTTATCCACAAACATAACCTTTAACAAGATATGCATTCTCCACATATTGGCGACATCATCATCATACAATAACGTCACGTAGCTTTTCTGAATAGGTGCAATATATTGAAGTTTTACCGCCTCTACACTCACCTTATTCCATCTTTTTGATAGATTCCGGTAAAGATTCTCCAGAATGGTGCCCTCTTCTAAACCAATTACATGATGCTCACCTTCGTACGAACAGATAATTAATAATTTCAGACTACTTTGCTCCATGTCCATCGGAACCTAACGATCCAACCAATGTATGTATGAACTATATTAGGTCATATTGGCGATTCGACAATTTTATACAGAATAGACTAAAATCATATGTTAACCTAGAATTCTAGTGATGTACTGATTCTCAAATAACAATAAATTACCCAGTTCACAAATATAACATTTACAAATTAGCTGCCAACAAAATTTATTATCAAAATCACCAAAAAAAATTATTATCAAAATCACCAAAAAATTACCCACTACACAAATCTCATACTTCATGTATAAATTTCTAGTAGTTTAACAAGTATCAACACTTTCCCCAAAACCCTAAAATAACAATTTTCTTACTAATCCAAATGTTATTAAAATGCGCGACCTCGGACGACGGTCCTCGAAAATTCTCCCACCGAAGCGCGACCTCGGACGACGGTCTGAGAAGCTTCTCCCACCAAAGCGCGCGACCTCATATGACGTCGAACCGGGTGTACAAAGGGAGGACGGATAGCTAACTAGACGGAATATCGGAGAAAGAACAGCGAACCGGCCGTGGGAAGAAGGGGAGAGAGTTTTTCACACCGGAAACTGGGCGATGAGAGGTTGATTTTGACCTGATGGAAGAGGATTCAACGGACGAGGAATTTTTCAGCGCGAAAAAAAAACTGTCTGGAAGGGAAGGAAAAGAAGAATCGAGAAAATAGGGGAAGAAAGAAAGATAGAAAAATGAGAACGAAGGAGTGCAGACAAAGATTTTATCAATAGGGACTGAATCCCAATTGATAAATGGACAGAGGGATTTATCCTCAATTGTCCGTAAATTTAAATCACGAAATAAATAATAAAAATTACAAATATACACAATTAAAATATGAAAAACTACAAATTGTCCCTCCGGGGATCTATTTGCAATTTGTAAAAATTAAAAATAAATAAATAAATAAAAAGACATCATAATTAGAGTTGTTAAGGTGCAACACAAAAAATAGTATTTTCATGTAGCAAACACACAAAAAAATAGTGTTAGATATAGCATTCAATTGAACGGGCAAAACTCCAATTATGCAGCTGCGTCCGCATTGGAAATATCATGTATAAAATAAAAAAAAATAACAATAAAATCACCAAAAATTATGCACCAGTTGGCCACTTAGCTCCGTTTAAACAGAGGTTTTTTTTTTAACTTTTGAAAGTTCGAAAAGAAGAAAAGTAAAATTTTAGTATTTTTTAGTTCATTTAAATTAGTCCATTCAAATAAATATTTTATTGAAAAAATGATCAATGTAAAAAGATAATTGAGTTTATGTTTGGAAATTTAGTTAGAAATTAAAATAAATAAAGAGAGAATGTAATATAGACAGAAGTATTTGTTGTTGTAAATAAGTGTTGAACAAAAAAAAAAAAGAAAAATAATTCAATATTATATTTGTTGACTTCGATAAATTATTATATTTGTCGACTTCGATAAAAAATAACCGAATATATTTAACTAATGGATAAAAAAGTAAAGTAAAGTAAAAATAAATTTAATTTAATATTTTATGAAAAAAAAAACATTTGATATGATCATTAAAAAAATAAATAGTGTCAACATAAAAACTTGTTAAGTAAACAAAGCTTTTTAAGTCACTGCTTTGGTTGTTCATACATTTGTCTGCTTGTTTTATTTAAATATATATTAGTATTATAAAATGCTTTTTGACGTGAATTTGGCGATGGATGCAAAGAACCTTAGCTCTAGACAGCTATGGCAGCGGTTACAAATGCGGTCTCCTGTAATTTCCCTCCTACACTGCTCAAATCATCTCTCTCCCCGCGAAAATCCTTGTTTGCTTCTCCCCAACCTTCAATTTCCCTATCACTAAAGCCTAATCGAACCGGCGGTTACTTCAATTCGTTGCAATTGCAGTTGCACATGAAGCTGAGAATGGGTGATGTTCAGGTTCGTCGGAGTTCGTTGGACACTAGGAATCCAGAGACTGAGTCGATTGTTTCTTCTGAAGGAGGAGGAGGAGGAGAAGGAGAAGATGAGTTTCTCGGTGGCGGCGACGGCAGCGGTGGAGGAGGAGAGGAGAGGGATTGGACGACGTCGTTTTTGCTATTTGGTTTCTGGCTCGGTCTTATGTATTACGTCTTCTTCCTTGCTCCTAACCAGACGCCGGTATGTTTCTACTTCCCCCGTTTTAATATCATTTTAGTTGTGCTGATAATTCGACAATCCATTTATGGTTTTTCTTTTTGCTAGTAGTCGTAGATATCGAATTTTTTGATCTGTTTTCTCTCCTACATGTAAATCTTGCTCATGTTTCTGCACATACACACATATAGATTTGTTCATTATGCTATTTTTCGAATTCTTGATGCTTCGTAATCTGTTGTGGCGGTTTGCTCTCTGGTTTCTTTGATTTATATGCTGCTTTATCAATTGAAGGGTGTTCAAAATATTCAAACTGAACCGTTCGAACTTTTTAATCAATTATCTACAAATAATAGAAATATATTTTGTTACTTGAATTTTCGCTTCACCAAAAATTTAGGTTCAAATACGGTCTACGAAAAGTCTACGTTTTCGGATATTTGTTATGTTCGGTTTGAATATCAAATATCTACATATTTACAACTAATCAAACTGTGTCCACCCCTATTTATTATATATTAATGGAAATTTTATGCATAGAGCTACATGAGAGGTAATTATGGCCTTTCATATGTTGTTTACAGCAATTGATGTGATTCTAAGTTGGTTTAGGATTGTTTGAATTTCGAAAAATAAGCAACTGATGAATTGTTTTCCAAGTGTTGGATTTGTGAAAGCTGTTTACAGTCCATGCATCTTCTCAACAACAAATGTGATGAAAAGTATAACCAAACATGACCTTATCTTGTTAACTATCTCTGCAGACGACGGATGTTTACTTCGTGAAAAAGCTTCTGTTTTGGATTAGAGACGATGGATTTGAAATGAATAGAGTGCTGGTGGCTGTATGGAACATGATGGGAATATGGCCTTTGGTGTACAGTATGCTGCTTATTCCCACTGCCCGAAGGTAACTTATGTGGACTCTACTTGGCAACGTCTTCAAGAATGCAATTTTGATTACAAAAATAAAGAAAATGGTGTTACTACTGCGAGCTTGTAGAATATTTGAATCGGTTATTCTCACAAACTAATGTTTTATTTGTGAACTTCTTTGTTCCCATATTAGTCTATACCACACAAGGCGTTTATCTTAGCCTTGAAAGGTAGCCAAGCTCTAGATGTCACAACCGAATGAAATAGTTGGTGCTAGAAATGGTGGTTCTAGAATACTTATGTGCCCCTTTGTGACCCCAGCTAACCCCGGGAATGGAGGGATAGCATCTGGGATTGGAGAATGAAATTGTGTGTAAATGTATAAAATGTTGTTATTACTTGGTAGCTTGTAGAATTTTCGAATCAATCATTCTTACAACTAGTGTTTGCCTCATGAAAGTTCTGGTTCATCTATATTAGTTTAGTGTCATTTTTATGCAAGGGAGACGGTTCTAGTGGAATATTGTATCGTTCATTCCCTTTTTTTCTCCTTTACTTCTAGAAAGTTTTATTTCATTCAGATCTCGTCTGATCATGTACATTCATGTATTATTAATGTCTTAATTCTATACAAAAGTATGATTTCAAGTAATTTTTATTCCATCTTTAGTATACAAACTCAGTTTGTGTGTATCACATAAAAAGATCAGACAGGCATATTTTTATTTACTACACAATTTCATGTTTAGCTAAGATAAATGGTAAGCATCGACAATTTTGAGCATAACCGACAGTTTGAGCCAATCAAATTAAATTGATTCTGTGTATTTTTTTTGCTAGAGCCTGTTCTTGTTGATAAGTGCATTAACTTGTAACTCATTATACGCCCTCTTGGTCGAAAACAATGCGAAGATGATTGATGTCTACACAACTGCATATGGTCTTATGTAACAGCATGACTTGATTTCTGCAGCTATAAAAGCAAAATCCCCGTGTGGCCATTTCTTCTTCTATCGCTCTTCGGCGGCATATATGCTCTTTTGCCCTACTTCGTTCTGTGGAGGCCACCATCTCCACCGGTTGCAAAATCTGAACTGAAGGGACGGGCACTGAAAATTTTGGACTCGAAAATTACCGCAGGGGTAAGTTTGCCTGTTCTAAGAATTTGCACTAGACAAGCTTCAGGGGACATTTAACTACTCACACGGTGAAAATATGTTCGAATTAATATTTAAGAAAATTCAATTTGAAAATTATCATGGTTAATCGTTTCATATTCACTCATTGATAGGGATGGCATTGCTGTAACTATGTGTTGTTCTTGAATTATGCTGTAATTGTTTTGCTGAGTAACTCAGCGACGCTATTTTATACCACAAAGAAGAGTTGTTTTTATATAGATTTCCAATTTTATGAAGCCAAACAATGGCTTCGTGACTTATTCTATAGAATTAAAATCACTTTAAGCATCACTCTTTTGTTGTTATCATGACCATATTCAAGAAGACTAAGACGTTGCCTGCTATCCTCTCGTTAATTTTGCAATTTTTACATACATTTATCTGTCAGATTGCATTGGCTGGAGGGATAGGCCTGATGGTCTATGGACTTTCAGCTGGCGGAGACGGATGGAAGGAATTTTACCAGTATTTTCAAGCAAGCAAAATCGTGAGTATTTCATTTCTCGATTCATTCATCTTGCATGCATACATACATACATATACATATATATATATATGAACTTTATATGTATAGAACGTTTTTGTTTCGTATAATTTTAGCTGTAAATTATTATAGAGAATGATGTTTTTTGGGTTTTTGTTGAGTTTTTTTGTTGTGTATATATATTTTTGGTAATATTTTTTGGAGTTGTGTACATTAAAAACGCTAAGTGAAAATATTGCTTATTATTAACCTTTTACAAATGTTAAATTGAAATTTCATACGGCATCGAGATTTGATTTCAAGGATCTTCGACTCTATAGGGGTAGTTGAATAAGCATGCAATTTTTTTCCTTTCTTTTTGGTTATGTTTTTCGGTTTAATGTATAAGGATGTGCTTTAACTCTTGGAGGACTGACTCATTTCGTTGCAGACGCATATCACGACCATAGATTTTCTTCTATGTTCAGCATTCGCGCCGTTCTGGGTCTACAATGACATGACCACACGAAAATGGTTAACCCCACCCGACCCTTCATACTTTTAGAGGATTGATCGAATCTTTCGCAGATAACATAATATTCATCGGGATACTTTGTGTGTTTGTATTGCCAGGGGTGATAAGGGATCTTGGCTGATTCCAGTATCGGCTGTTCCATTACTCGGCCCGAGCATCTATCTCCTCTTACGACCGTCGTTGTCGTCGAGTCGAATAGCATCTGATGACAAGTAGTGTGTAAGAATACTGACACTTGATGATGATTGAAGCAATCCTTCTTCAGGTAATGAACAAACTCACTCTACTACTATTTTTTCCTTTGAATAAGAAGTTTTTAAGTACAAATATTTTTCAAGTGTGAATGGTACGGTACAGTTTAAATGAAATGCTCTAGACTGCCCTACATATTCATTCTTGTGTTGAAGCCCGGCCCGTTTTCAAATCCGAGCCAACTAGGCCCGGCCCAGGGCTGGTTTTAGATCGACTTGAAAACCCACTTTAGGACATGACCCAAATGAAAACGATGCCGGGTCGGGTTTAATAATAGTTACATATTTTGTAGATTTGATTGGATACGAATAATAATAAATTTTAATATTATAATCAAGTCGGTAAAAAATAAAGTAAGAATATTATTTTAAAAAGTGAGAAAAAAAAGTAATGAGACACATAGAAAAAATAATTATTATTTATTAAAATAAATATAATACAATTGTAGATAGACAAAATAGTTAATGTAATTAGATTGTATATAAATCTAATGAAGGCCAAAAAATAATAAATTATAGTATAATTTTAGCCGACGGAGAAGGTATAATTTTTAGTTAAAAAGTAAATTACATTAATTTAAATAAATACGATTGTAATAAAATAATATTCTTATTGATAATTAAAAAAAATGAGCCTTTAATATATAATTTTTTTTTGTTTTATTGCATCTTCGTTAATACTATATTTTAAAAAATATTTAAGTTTAAATTTTAGTTTTATAAATTAGAGTTGGCCGGCCTGACTTAAATAGTAGTAGGTTGTTAATGAAATAAATAATCTTGTTCAATAAGATATTCGATTTGGATTCGAATACAAATGTTCGGTTCGATTCGAATATGAATAAAATATAAATGTTTAATATTTGATTCGATATTCGTAAATATTTGATTCGATAATAAAAATATATATATATATACATAGGATAAAATAATTTATATATATATGTACTTTCCAAAATAAATCAATGAAACTAAATTTATTTATAATATTACTTTTAAATTTTATATAAATAAATATATAATAAAATTAAAACTACATTTATACGTAATTTTTATTTTTGTCAAAGCATGAAAGTCTTGTTTCAATTTGAAAAAAAAAAAAAAAAAAAAAAAAAAAAAAAAAATAATAATAATAATAATAATAATAATAATAATAATATATGTGTGTATAATTTTTATCTAAGTTGTCTTAAAATTATTGTTTAAAAATATAATTTTAAAATTTCAAGTCGAATAGCTACATCGAATCGGATAAAATAAAAATGAGTCAAATTTTAATCAAATATTTGAATAATATTATTAAAATTGCATTTTAAAAAATCAAATCGAATAGTTTAAAAATTATCTCGAATCGAATACGAATATTATTTTAAGATTAGAAGCGAATCGAATATCAAATCAATAGTCGATTATTTTTACGAATCGATCGAAGACTGCACTAATCGCTTCGATTCGATTCAATTCATATACAAACCTGGGGACAACCTGATTTTTCAACTATGTTGTCCGGTCCTTGTCCGAAAATTTTAGAACCTAGATCAAATTTTTGTTTTTTTTGTGTTACGTTGGAATTGAATTTCCTAAGAATGTTTGTTTATTTAGTGGCTATAGTTGAAGCAAATATAAAATAAAGAAAGATGTTTTTGTTTTGTTTTGGGCTGTAGTTAGTACTTTGAATAAACTTCTAACATAAGGTTGATATATTATAACAAATACATGCTCAATATATTATTTATTTTTTATTTTAGTATAATATAAATAGGGTGTGTTTATTAAAATATTGGATTATTTTAATAGAGTATATAATCAATAGACTAATTAATACTTCCTCCGTCCCACATAATTTGTCCTTATTTTCTATTTTCGTTCGTCCCACATAACTTGTCATTTTTATTTTTGGAAATATAATTATGCACTTTAATAGCATTTTAAATTTTAAATTTTATAATTTTTTTAATTTTAATTAAACTATTTACTTATTTTAATCTTAATCTATAATTATTTTTACTAAATAATAATTATTTTTATTAATACACTTCTTAATTATTTACTAATTATATTTTATCTAAATTCCTGTGTCTACGGTAATACACCCATATTACATGGGACGGAAGGAGTATAAAATTTACTTTGTGTGATTAAATATTAGATAAAATTATATTATGTTTTCTTATATAGTATGATTATTATTATTTTTTTTAAATATCCTTAATAATATTATTATAAGTTATTGTGATAAAATTTGTTATACTCCATTCGTCCTATTGAAAAGTTGTCATTTTCTATTTTCATCCGTCACCCTTTCAACTTGCACTATATTACACAAATGTCATTACTTTTATATTACACAATACTAATAGGGATATTTTTGTCTTTTTCACTATAATTCATTATAATATTAATATTGAAAAATCTATGTGCAAAAAGTAAACGGCAACCTTGCACCGGGACGGAAGGATATATATTTTTCTTTCTAATTATAACAATATAATATATAACAATATTAAAATTTACTTGAGTTATTGTCACGACATAATATGTATATAATATTTGATATTTTTTTATTATTTATTAAATATATTTAATTTTATCCTCAAAATTGTAAATTAAGTTTTACTTATTTTATATTATTGATTAAAAATTTAAAATATGTATATGACTAACATTTCAATGAAATTAAAATATGTTAAAAATAAAAGATTGTTAATACATTTATATAAAATATTTTTAAGTGTTTAAAGAGAATGATAATTTAGACAATTTAGTAAGTATGATTAAATAATATTAGGGATTAAAATGTATTAAAAATCTAATAAATTAATATAATTGTTACGGACTTTTAACTGTATAGAGTTCTAATACGTTAAATTAAATATGAGATTAAATCGAATAAATAGTATTATCTATCATAATCTCATATAATAAAAGCACACATAATACATCGCAATACTTCATACAATATGTCAATATTGTTTTAAAGACATTAGCACAACACATATTAATCATATAAACAATATGCATTATTTAATGGCTAATTATATAGAGTATATAACATACTCTCTCCGTCCCAATACAATAGTCTTGTTTATTATTTTTGTTTGTTCCAAAATAATAGTCTCATTTTCATAAATAACCATATCACTATAAAATTACCTTTATTTTTTCATTATTATTACACAATTGTCACTACTTTTTACACTAATACACTCACAAGGGTAAAAAAAAATTTTTATCCGTATTTTTTACCCACTGTTAATATAATATCAATATTCCTTAAATCCAGTGTCAAACGCAACTTAGACTATAGTTCTGGAACGGAGAGACTATATTGTTTTAACAATAATCATATATGATGTATATTATTATAATGTGATGATGATACTAATCAATATGTCATTGTCATAATCGATTTTATTTTGAAAGTGTTTTGAATTTTTATTTTTATCTTTTTATTTATTTTTATTTTATTATTATTATTTTATTTAAGTATAGTAAGTTTGAGGCAAATAGACAAATTTTTGTTCTATGTCCTGGGTCTTGACTCAAATTCTAAAAACTGATAGAAAATTCAATTAATAGTTATGGAAGGGCCAGAAAAATTGTTCTCATTTTATTTGGAATGCAATGATATTTAAGTGAAATAAAAAAAATATATATATTGACATTGTGGCGACTAGTCCTAAAGTATCTGCATCAACTAATAGTATATTAATATAAATTTTTTTATCATAAATTATATAATACTCCCTCCGTCATCGTAATGATGTTAGCATTATTGTGGATACGAGAATTGAAGAGTGATATGATTAGTAAATAATTAAGAATTCATTAACAAATTTAAATACAATATAATATAAATAATTGTAAATTAAAATCAAGAGAACTAATTAGTTTAGTAAAAAATAAAAAAAATATAAAATTTAAAATATATTAAACATAAAATACTTTTCTAAAAAAATCACATGATATGATATGTAAGATAAATAAAAATAAAAAATATGAGATAATATGCAAGAGAAAGAAAGTACCATAATAAAAACAAAAATAGAAGCCTAATATTTGAATAATTATGGCTGTTATTTTCAATAATTTAAAAATGAAGGAGCAAAAAGTAGTTCAAGTACTGGCTTTTACTTTTGATTATTATTATTTTTTTCTCTTTTAATAGTCAATTTCAAGTTGAATAGAAACATATAAAAAGACTAGGGTTTGTTTGGTCAATAATTTTTCTCCAAAATAATTTTTAATATATATATATATTACTTTATTAGAAAAAATCAATATTTAATATAAAATATATATTTTTAAAATTTTTATATTATCCACGTATTCATTATATTCATATTCAAAGATATTTTTCAATCAAAATACTAAACAACAAACCCTTCAACTCAGTGTTATTTATTATTATCTTTAGTAAATTTTTTATTATTTAAATTTTATACTTCCTTTGTACCAGAACTATAATCTAGATTATATTTAATACAAGATTTAATGAATATTGATATTATATCGGTAGTGGATAAAAAGTACGGATAAAAGATTTTTTTGCCCTTGTGAGTGTATTAGTGTAAAAAGTAGTGACAATTGTGTAATAATAATAAAAAAGTAATACCCCCTCTGTCCCGCAAGAAGGTTGTCATTGGCTTTTTGTGTGTTGATATTTGAATATTAATTATAATATTAATACGTAGTACAAATCAAGAAAACAAAACAAAAATATGTTTATTAGTCTCTTATAATACATATACTTATATTTGTCGAGTAAATTATTCAAATATAAAGATATTTTTAATGTTAAATACAATAATGCAAAAACTAAATGACAACCTTCTTGCTGGACGGAAGAAGTAGTAATTTTACAGTGATATAATTATTTCTGGAAATGAAACTATTGTTTTGAGACAAATAAAAATAGTAAAAACGACTATTATATTGAAACGGATGGAGTATTATTAGTATTATTATTATTTTATAAAATATCATATCCAATATAATTTGAATAAAAAAATATTCAAATATTCAAAATTAAACTAAAAGCGCACCATTGAAATATTTTTTTTAGTTGGTTTGTGGATTTTAAATTCATATTCCATTATTCATTATTTTTTTTGAAAAAGTTTCAAATTAAAAATTACTATTAAATTTCAAAGAAACGCATCACTTATTCTTTTCTATATAATTTTAATATTATTAAAAATTAATTTTATGTTTAAAATATTTTAGTAACAATTATATACATTATATCAAATAACTATTATTCCGTGTATTTTGAATGTATAAATTTGAAATTTTTAGCAGACTAAAAATAATATTAGTATTTTATTGGTTAATAAAAATATATAAGAAATTTTTATATATATATATATTTTTATAAAGTAATTGTACGTGTACTGTATTTTTAATATTGGTATATATACTTTCACTAAAATAAGAAAAATGTATTTTTGAGTGATACAACAAAAATAGTAAAAAATGGATAGTAAAAACTAAAACAAATTAACAAACAAACACACATTCATTTGGATTCTTAGTTTTTATTTTTCTCAATTTATTTACACATGTAAGAGAAAAGAAATTCCATAAAGATGTATTTTGATTTTTTAATTTTAATTTCTCTAATTCACAAAAGAAAAAAAAAAATAGAAACAGAAAAATAATTTTAAATTTTAAATTTTGATTTAATTAATATTTTAATGTGATAGTTTATAATATATTTTTAATTTTTTTAATAATATATTAAATTAAAAATGTTTATTTAGTTAGATACTTTTAACTGAAAATTTGGAGTGCTTTTACTTAAAAAATAATTTATCATTAAAAAAAATTGAATACTTTGTTATGAGACGGACTAAAATAAAAAAATAAATACTTTATAATGGGACAAAAAAATATTATTTTTGTTATAGAGTATTAAATTAAAAATTTAATTATAAATCATACGCAACCAAAATTTCGATAAATCATATCAAACTTAAACATTCAAAAGAATAGCTAGGTCCGTTTTCAAGTAAATTTTAAATATTTTTATTGTATCTACTATATTTTATTTGTTATATTAAATTAAAAATTACTTATATATAAAAAAACCATCATGTTAAATAATCATTATTTTTTAAAATCAACCCATTTTATTATTTAACTAATTTATTATTTTTTTTTATAGAATTAAATTTAACTTTTTTTTTCTTTTTTTTTGTCGTACTCCTACTATTTATTCAAATTTACACATAAAATATAAATAAATCACATATCATAGCACCGAATGAAAAAGTGAAAAGATAAAAGAACAGATTTCGATTACTTATAATACTAATATTAATTTTATTAGGATGTGTTTGTTTAGGGGCTTTTCCCTAAATACAGTATTCATTCCATTTTTTTTTAAAATATTACATCAAATACTTAATTTTTATTTTTTATTTTATATTAAAAATTGATTTAATATTTAAAATATCAAATCAAAGTTAATTTATATCGGCATCATGCAACTATTCAAATTTAAAATTTTTGATATTTAAATCCAAATCCCAAACAAACACACCCTTAATATTAATATTAACAAGTGATTGGCTTTCCTTTTTCTATTCTTAATAACTCGTACTATGCATCAAATTATTATAATTAAATTTAATTATTATATTATTTTTATTTAATTTTATAAATAGGTGCTATGCACGAAATTATTATAATTAAATTTAATTATTATATTATTTTTATTTAATTTTATAAATATTTAAAATAAATAAAATATATATATATATATATATATCTATCTTTAATTAAAAATATATAAAAACCCTTTGATTGCCTTTCCTTTCCCCTTAGCTAATAATTAGTCGTCACTTCAGTCTTCTTATTTTCGTTTCTCTTCTCCTCTGCTCATTCATTTATTTCATTTGCGTTTCTTTCCTTTTCCCCCAAATACAAAAAATTCACCACCCAACCCTTCCCTCTCTCTCTCTCTCTCTCTTAATCCGCCCCCCGCCCACCCCCAGATTCTTCGTCTTCTTCAATGTTTCGCTGCTGATTTCTCCATTCTATTCATCGATTCATGCCTCTTTCCTCTTGATTGATTGATTTCATGCCCGCGGGATTGCTTTTACTCTGATATACATAACACACATACAGATTAATTAATCAATCGCGCACGAAGAAGAATAAGAGGAAGAAGAAGAAGATGAGCAGTGGGGTTAAGGCAAGTGCGGGTAGGGTTTCGATCCCCAGCGGCGTTAGGAAGACGATCGAGAATATTAAGGAAATTACAGGCCAGAATCACTCCGAGGATGAGATTTATGCAATGCTCAGGGACTGTTCCATGGATCCCAACGAGACTGCGCAGAAGCTTCTTCAACTTGGTGAATTTTCTCATTCCCCCTTTCCCTCTCTCTCACTCACTCTGTATTTTATTTTTATTTTTTAAAAAAACTATTTTAATTTAATTTTCTTTTTGCTTCACTCATGGGCATTTGATCTCGCTTCTTGCTTTTGATCTGTGGTGTCTTTGGGTGGAGTATTTGATTTCTGATCTGGCTTTATGTTGTTTGGATTCTATTTGTGTGAAGCGTGCTGAAGATTGTTGTTTGTATTCTTCTGCAGATACGTTTCATGAAGTACGGAGAAAACGTGATAAGAGAAAAGAGGTACGCTCTGTTTCACTGCTGAGTTCGTTGTGTTCTGTGTTGGTAATGTTTGCCAGAGGAATGTCCTAAAGGTTATGCATTTTTGGGTTTTTATTTTGATGTCGGGCTGCATCTTCAATTCTCTTAATTTCCTCTTTCTATATATATATATATATATATATTGTGTGTGTGTGTGTGTGTGTGTTGCCAAACAAGAATATTTGGGTTGAAGTGTTTCAAAATGAAGCAATTGTTTGAACTCTAGGATTATACTGCTACATGGTTAGGTTAATAACTGTGCTCTTTTAACATGAACTTTTAAATTTGGAAGAACTAGAGTATTGGATCACATAGAGTGCATAGCAGAGTGGTTAGACTAGAGAATCTCATACGATATTTGCTAATTGCTAATCTCTGCACAATTGCCAATATCTGTGAATAATCATTGTTCTTCAAGTCAATCTGACCTCAACCAGTCAATTTGTCAGTGAATATCCCAATTTTTTTTTTTCTCAATTGGTATTACTATCATAAAATACATCTTTTCATCCATTTACTTTAAAACAAACTATAAATGAAAAGACTAAATGACCAATTTGTATCTCCTCTATCCATCATCTGCCCTTGGGCTAGGAAATGTGTGTACAATTTGTTGTCTATGTATCATGAAAAGATGGGATCTTCATGTTTAAATTTCAAACTGAACCAGTGTTCTATCATTTTTTGAATCTTTTGCAAGTCTGTCTCCATGTCATAAGAAAATTAAAATAAAATAATATTCATACGATTGCGACGGAGCTTCTTAAAATGGTGATTAAATGCTGAAATATTTTTGGCTTGATTTTCACTACATACAGCATTCACATTGGACTCCAAACAATTGATTAGCTTCTGCTACTTTTGCTTCTATCCGTTCGTGTATGCCCCCACCCCAATCTACAAACCACTCTGAAATTAAAATCTAGTATGTGAGCTGAATTCCTATTGGTATGTTTCAGAACCAGAATAAGGAGCCAGCGGAATTGAAGTGGAAGCAAGGTGCCCAGGCACGCAGCAGTAGAGTGAGCCGTGGGAACTATTCATTGCGGTATACATCTAATGGTGAGCTGACATTGATGCTTTCTGCAGTACTGACTCTGTTGTTCCTTAAATTTTCGACAATGCCTGCTTTATCAGCCAGCCTTCAACAGAAGTAACGAATGAAAAATTGCAGCCAAGGTTGTGTTTACTCATTCACTAATTTCTTTTGTGTTTCCATAATCTTTTAGTCACTAGCGGTGGAAGGGGTGCAGTTGCTCCAAGGGAAAGTGCTACAAGTAACCTTCCAGAGAAAGGCATTGGCAAAGTACCTGTAGTAGGTTCACAAGATATGAGAAAGAATGCAGCTTCTTCCATTGCAAGGTGCGGCAAATGGTTCACTAATTTTGCTCTGTGCTCTGTTGTGCTTCTATTGTAAAACACGGGTGTGTTTGTTTGGGGTTTTGAGTTTGGATCTTTGAGTAGTAAAAATTTAAATTTGAATAAATGTTTGATGTGATATAAATAAGTGTTGACGTGATGTTGTTAAAGTAAAATTTATTTTGAGTATAATATAAAAAATAAAAAATAAGTGTTTGATTTGATATTCTTAGGGAAAAAATTTGTTGAATAGTGAAAAATCTCTGGGTGTGACTGTTTGGGGGTTTTGATTTTGAATTTGAGCTTTAAATAGTAAGATTTTAACTTGAAATATTTGTTTGAATTTATATAAATAGGTGTTTATGTGATGTTTTGAATGTAAAATTAATTTTTAGTAAAATATTAAAAAAAAAATAAAAAATAAGTGTTTGATCTGATGTTTATGGAAAATTTTTTGGAGGAATAGTAGAAATCTGCCAAAGTCTTCCAAACGAACCCACTAAAAAAAATCCCCAAGCATACGCAACAAATCTACACTGATGCTGTGTGATTTCCTGTCATCCTTTCTCATGGATGCTCTATGAGAGTTGCCTTTTGTCTCTGCAGCCCAATAGCCGCAGTATCTAATGGTCCATCTGGTGTTACATCTAAGGATGCTAGTGTTGTGCAAGACAATCATGCTTCCCGAGGAGGTGTGAATTTATCCAATACATCAACTAGTATCAAGAAGTCAGAGGGACCGCTTCAGCCTCAACCACGAGCCAAATCAATTGAAAATGATAAAAGTTTGAGAAACAAGGATATTCAGCAGCAACCAATTCTGGAGATTAGCACCAGTCCAGCACCTGCTTCGGGTTTTCTTACTTCTTCAGGTCCTGTGATGTCATCATCTCAAGATTTCTCCGTCCCCAGTACTGTGGGTACGGTTGAAGTGGGAAATCAAGATGTTACAGCTGAACTGATTGGTGGTGGTATATCTGAGAGCAAATCATCTTCTGCTAAAACTTGTATGCTGATTGTCTCTCTATGCTAACATTGATTTCTTTTTACATTTCCATGGAAACAACTAATGGGAATTATTTTGTTTAAAATATGGATTAGCTACTTCCAAGCTTGCTTTGCAATCTGGATCTGGAAGGAACCAGCCTTTAGATCCTATGCCAGTCACATCTTCTACTGGTGGTGTTTCGATCGGTAGCAGACCTGCATCAAGCTACAACAACCGCTCTCAAGTGATTGGGCAACAAAAAGGTATGTATGGCATGTTGTAGTGTGAAAACTTGTCATTCTGCTTTGATATGCCTTGAAAGACCTAATGCTACTGCAGTTAAAAATGAACATCTAACAGACATTATATTGTAAACACCCATCATATATGGTGGTCTAATCTGCAGTGGTATGTCTTTTGAAAATTGTAAACCTGGGTGGCGATCTGATCATCTTTACTTGGATGGTGATGGGATCATCTGAGTCCTGATTTTGGTTATTCACAATTTTATTGCCTTTAGTATAACAAATAATGTTTTCTGTCACTATTATTTTTACCAACTATTTAATAAATTTCCTATAATACTATTGTTTTATTTTTTACCTATCCTACTTTCTTATTAAAATATCATTGATTTTTAGTGTTCGTGCCCGACAAAGTGACGTAATTTACTGGACGGGGGGAGTATTAACTTACAACTATGCTTCTGTCCCAATGTAATTCTTTGATTAATGTTGACCTAAATTAACAATGTGTATGCGTTATTGTTTCATTATGAATTTAGAATACAAACTGTTAGTGAGTTTAATTGTGTGAATTTGCAGTGGGTCCTGGCAAAGAGTGGAAACCAAAGTCTACTAATGCCCATAATAGTCAAAGTGTTGCTACAGCTCCATCATCAGAGGCTTCTACAGTGTCTGTTGGTTGTCATACTGAATCTCAGACAACTCCTGTTGTTCCCACTTCAGAGGAAGCTACTCTTGGGATGCAGAGGAAGTTTGAGGAGTTGCACATCTCAGATAGCCAACATGTTATTATTCCTAATCATCTGCATGTCCCCGAGGTTGCCAAGCTAGGATTTTGTTTTGGAAGTTTTGATGCTAGCTTTGGATTGGATGTGAACCCAAATGGTGTTCCAGGGAGTGATGAGCTTCCACCACTGTCTGAACCCCCCTCTGAAGCAACTGACGAACCAGTGCAGGAGCCACAAACAAGGTCTCTCTCTCTCTCAAACAAATTTGGTTTTACTTTTGTGTTATTTTTTCTTCATTTAATACTTACATGTATGATCCTCATCTTCCATTTCCTTGAGCACATGTTTATATGATAAAAAAATAGTGTATGCTGGGTTAGTTCTTGCAAATGTCCTGAAAATAGATGGGTGCTTGAGAACAGCTCTCACCTGCAGATATGTAAACTATTACCTAAAAAAGTTTACCTCCATTGCATTGTTAAAGCTAGACGAGCCCTATGTCTGTGGTGAGTGTTGGCATTGGTTGCTGTGTATCAAACGTAAAACCATTTTATCCAATTCTTCTATATATATATATCTATTTTTTTATTTTATTTTATTCTTTAATACATGTGTGTATGTATATATGCAGAGATTCATTTTTAGTTTCACACCTGTGAGATGATTATTCTGAAAAGTTCTTTGGCTAAAGTAGAAGTGAATCAAAGATTTTGCAGAACTCTAGGAAATACATCAATATGATTTTGAAATCGCTTCATTGGACAATAATGCCTGAATATTTCATAAATTTATTAGGAAATCTTGATTTTAGTACCCAATTTACTAGTTTGCTGCTTTCGAAATGTGTTAGATATAATTTATTAGCCCAGGAAAGAGCTTAATAGCACAATATTCTCTTTGTTGTTTGACATAAGATGTGAAGTTAGAAACTTTGCAGCTGAAATTTTCGGTGTGTTGATTTGCAGAATAAGTTCCACTGGGTAAATCTTTCCATTTCACTTTTGTAAAGTTGAGCCTTGTTTGTATTGATGTTTGGGTGTTTTTTCTTTGAATATGCCCCATTCTCATCCAGTCACACTAGTTGCTGCCAAGCGTCTTGGTTTTACTATATTAGGCATCATTTGCACTTCCATCTTCAGTTTGTCAAGATTGATCTGTTGATTTATGTTCATTAATTTGTTCCATTCTTTGTGTATTCCTTACTGAGAAATTATAGATAGAAAAAATGTGTTTCTATTATAAATTAATTGCATCTTTATGTAAATAATTTGGGCTGATTGAACTTCAGAATACTGGTTCATGAAGTGGCCATGCTGCTGCTTGAACTGTCAATTTGCTGGTTCTTACTGTCATTTGTTTTGAGTGGTTGCTCATTGCTTGTCCGTTACTTCATCTATCAGATTGCTTTTCATTGCAGAGATTTGGTGCATGGTGCTTGAAGCTTTCTACTAGGATTTTCATTTTGTGCTGACTTTTCTACTTACAAAATTTCATTTTGCTTTTTCTAATACATCAATTTCATGTCTAATTGCAGCAATCAAAGTCCATTGGCAGTTGCAGAGAATACTGAAACGAATTATCCTGACTGCCCCCCATCACCTTCACAACAGCCAGAAAATGTTGCACCGAATGAGGTTGAAGTCTCATTGTCAGTAGCCCCTGATTTTAGTGAGGCCAAACCAGAGGTCTCTACAGGAAGCCATCAAACTGTGGTCCGTACTTCATCAGCTTATAACTTAGGTTTCATCCCGTCAATATTGAGTGGTCAACTTACATCTGAAAGTTCAGAATCTCAAGCTCGTGATGCCTCTCGACTTCCAAACTTTGTCGTAAGTCTCTTATTCATCATTTATTTTTGTAGTATCTCCGTCCCAATTGAAAGTATGTGTTTTTACCATTTTCGTTCGTCCCGTTCAAATGTATCTATTTCCTATTATAGTAAAAGTAATTACACACTAATACTAAAATGTCTGCTAATTTTTACATAAATATAAACATACTACTACACACACAAATTATTTATACATAAAGTACACATGACAAAAATATCAAAATTATTTTACCTATTTTCATTGATCAATAAAATATTATTATTTTTTTAATCTACTACAAACCCTAAATGACCCTTTTGGATTGGGACGGAGGGACTACAAATTTTCTGGTCTACTATATTATGTTCTATGTATGCTATGGATGTATTATGTAATTTTTTAACTCCCTCATCATATGTTTTGATCTTTAATGTTTTGAATATTGCTGTTAATGCAAAAGCAGGTGCCGCAATCTTTTGATGCAGCAAGCTATTATGCACAATTTTATCGTTCTGGTATGGATAGTGATGGTCGCATTTCCCCTTTCCACCCTCCTGGAGCTGCAAGCAAATTCAATGGAAATGCTGCTCTTATTTCTGCACAGACGTCCCAGGCTCCTCAAGAGGTGCGTCATTTCAATATATGTGTAAACGTTCTGGTAATTTGAAACCTAGCCATGCGCTCCAAATTTTTGTACATTTTGTGAGAACTGTTGTATATTTCCTACTAGAAGTCTCTTTTAAACATAGTTTATTTATAATGATCTGCATATGCAGGTTGACCTCTACAGAAAGGTTCTTTACCATGTTTTTCTGCTGAGAAATAGGTTTTAAATTTTCATGAAGATCTTTGTTCGGCGTTTGTGCTTGTGTTTGAAACTATTCTCTGGTGTGGTTTTGTATTGGACAATGTTTATGTAGTTATACTATAATCTGTTCTGTCTGTTTCTGGTTTGAACTTGTTGGAAGTTATTAAGCCCTTTCCTTCGATTTTCATATATGTTATTAAGATTTTCCTCAGTTTATGTTTATAACTACCGTATCAACTCATTCAGTTGCAGGGCGGTGTTCCTCTCATCTTGTCTACAGCTTCTCCTAGTCCCCTAGTTACCCAAGCTGCTGGGGTTATGCAAAGCTCTGCAACCCAGCAACCTCTTCCCGTCTTCCGGCAACCTACTGGGGTTCATCTACCCCATTATCCTCCAAACTACCTTCCTTACGGTCCCTATTTTTCTCCATTTTATGTCCCACCACCAGCAATTCATCAGTTCTTAAGCAATGGCGCGTATCCTCAGCAACCTCAGGCTAGCAGTTTGCATCCTACGGCACCTGGGACAGCTGCAAAATACTCGGCCTCTCAATACAAACAGGGATCAAATGCCGCGAGCTCAGCCCATGTTGGATTGCCTGGAAGCTATGGCCCATACGGTCTAACAATGGCTAACTATGCTTCAAGTTCAGCCGCAGCTGCTGTTACTTCGACATCTAGTGAGGATATTGGCGGTCCTCAAATAAAGGATAATAATGTCTATCCTGGTGGCCAACAGGTTTGTTTACTTGTAATATTTTCAGATCTTCTATTTTATCCTTATTTGGTTCATCATTCTATACTGTTTTCGTGTTAGCTCTCAGACGCATATCATGATAGCATTTGCTAATGCCAAATAAGTAACTGTTCAATAGCGTGCTTGGCAAAAGTGCACCTCATTATAATACCTAATTTTTTCATTTACGGGCTAACTCAATATGCTATTGCAATCTTATTCCTCAAATGTTTTTGCGAGGAGTCGACATTATGGAGTTTCCTTTTATGAAGCTTAGTGTTGTTGGCTTCTTTCTTCTTTGTGCAGTTTTGAATTTATTTTAACATGTTGGAAGCATTTACGACGTGTAAGTTCCTTTGCTTCTTTTCAGAATGAAGGTTCTGGTGTATGGTTCACTGCCCCGAATCGGGACATATCTGCCTTGACGGCTAGTTCTTTCTACAATCTCCCTCAGGGTCAAATTGCTTTCACCCCAACTCAGCCCGGGCACGGAGCCTTCACTGGGATTTTCCACCCGGCCCAAGCAATGACTGCCGCAAATGTTCATCCCCTTTTGCAGCAATCTCAACCCATTACCAATGCCATGGATATGGCGGGTCCAACAGCCAATGTCTACCAGCAGCCGCAGCATGCACAACTTAATTGGCCGAGCAACTACTAAATAGACGTCTCTTTCCCCAAGACAGCCACAGGTTCAAATCTGCAAATCTAATGCCTCGATGGGATATATTTCAAAGAAGTTCTAATTTGATGAGAGAGAAAATTCGGAAGCCACAGGCGCAAGGAGTGTAAAGTAATGGAAGAGGCCAATAAAATCGGCTGATATATTTTTGTGGTCTTCCCATAGACTTATTAACAACCTTTTTAGGTTAAAATCGAGGCCAGAATGTCCCGACCATCCCTTTCTTGCTTCTCATGTGTGGTTTTGTCGTTCCAGTGATATACCTGGGGAGCCCTTCTATAGGTTTCTCTCTTCATTCTTAATTTGTTAGTTTTAGTATAGATTTCGATTCTTTTTCTCTTTTTTATTTTTTGTTGTTTTATGGTCTCATCCACCTCGGACCTCTTTGTGGTGTCGTGCCTGTAAAGTGAGAATTTTGTTTCGGGTAGCAAGGAAAAGATGTGTACCTAGCAGCTGTTGTAACTGTGGCCTCGATATATTTATATGGGGAATTCTATTGTTTATGATAAAAATTGCAGCAGCGGTTCTACTTTGCAGGTTCGTATTTGTGTCTGTTCTTTACTTACTAGTTTGGTTTTGGTTTTGTTCTCGGGATCTTTAGTTGGTTTTTTGCTGTTTATGCATTTATTTTATGATGTTGATTGATTGATTGATTATGTGAAGTTGGCTGGCTGCTGCTTATAGTTTGTGATAGTGTTGGACTATTATATATATTATGGATTGGTGTGCCATATAGTCGTAGTTAGTAGTATTTGTGTTGTGTGAGCTGAGGTAGCTAGGTACCTATGTCTTGTTGCTTTAACTTGAAATGTTGTTGGTTTCATTTGATTTGCTTTAATTGCAGATGGGGTGGCCAGTTTTCGTTTCTATTTACAGTAGTTAGATTTGTAAGTGAAGAAATAGTTTTAGATTTTTTCTTTTTAATAGGACTTTATGATGTTGCGTATTAGGAAAAAATATTAGTTATTTTTATCGCTAATAACTATTTTATATATATATATTATATATATATATACACACGGGTTTATCTTTATATGTATGTACTTTATATTTATGTACTGTATATATAAATATATATATTATATAGGGTAAAGTCCATTATCCACTCCTATAGCATAAAACCCCCTCTGTTTTTAAAATAATATCCATAACAGGCACGTGTTCTGTACGAGAGTATAAGCTCTTAAAATACCTGAGGTTGAAATCGAGATTGGGGTTGTAGTTCACCTCGACTGACCAGCAACAATGGGCGACTCCTCCAAAATCGGCGACAACGGACAATACAAAATAATATGAAATTTTTTGTTCTTAAATCCAAATTTCAATTACTATTTGAATCTAAGTTTTTGTTTGTGATTGTGTCGAGTTGAGAAAATCGATATGATAATTTTTATGCGGGAATGTAAATATTGGTGAATTTTGTGTGATTTGCTTGAAAATGTAGGGTTTTATGGATTTTGGAAACACATTGCAGTAATTCTTTTTATGAGTAAATTTTTGTTTAAAATTAAAATATTATATAAAAATAAAGGTACGTAAGCCAAAAATAATTTTCTACTTTTTCAGAAAATTTTTATCGAAGCAGTAATGTAGTTGCCTTACATAAAAGTAGTAAATGACCTACTTGTGATTTGCTAAATGATTTACGTAACTGTCGCATACTTCGATTAAAGTAGTTATGTCTAGTAGTTCATCTAAGGTTAAGCATAGAAACACCAATGAGAAGTTATATTTGAGATATAAGAATCCGTTTTGTTGATGCGGAAGATATGCTTCTATGTCACAAAAGACACTAAAAGTAAATTGTTTTGTAATTGTAAACTCAAACGAAGTGATTTTTTTTGTTGGTTTGAACCTATGAATCCACCATTATGTAGTGATTCCAAGACTCACTAATGTTATTCACGAGAACGCCACATTTGGTCTGTGTGGGAAATTACGCCCTGGCCCATTTGTTTCTTCACTTGTATTCTAATGATTAGAGTCAGAAGGTTCTGGGCATTCATCATCATAATTTTCAGCCCTTCAATTCTGCCTGGGTGGTGCATTCATTCTCTCCGCAATCTCATCATCTCGAACACTGCCCTATCCATGTTCCATCACATCACTAATAGAATCTTCCTGATTGACGCCCTCTATCACCCCATCACCCATTGTTATATTGTCATTCCTATGTTCGCCTTCCCTCTTCATCGCATTAACATTGTTTCCCATGCCTGTATAGCATAAATATATATATATATATATTTTTCAATTTAGAACATTTGAACAAATTCAACAAATAAACTTCATGGTCCCTACAAACACCTTCCAACGAAAAAAATGTAAAGAAATTCCAAAATATCAATAATCCAAGGGCGTCCAAGCCCAAATCAAATACGGCAAACAATGCAGAAAAATTCCCAAATTTGTCACTGCAAATCAATGAGTTTAAAAATTCAAATCCTACTCAAAATCGAACCACAAATCGCAACACCAAAGACTAAGAAAATCGCAACAAAGACCAAAATCGAACCAAAAATCGCAATACCAAAGACTAAGAAAATTGCAACAATAGTGTTAAAGAAACTCAAACCCTACTCAAAATCGAACAAGAAATCCATAATTTCTACAAAATTTCACATAAAAAAAACTCATACTAGCAAAATAACCCATAAATTAAAACTACTCACCACAAAATCGACATGGTGATTCTTACATGCGAGCTACAAATCCGGTGCTGAACGACAGAAATTGAGAGAGATTAAGAAACGCCAGCTCGAACGGGGTGAAATTTCTCCGGCAAACGGCGGATGGCGGGGGCAGATGACGGATGGACTCGAGAGAAATTGGGGGAGAGGGTTTAGAAAGAAATGAAAGGATGGCTCATAGTAAATTTGGGAGAATACAATTATTTTGTTAAACCTAGGGGTATAATGGTCCAATCACATATATTATTAACAACGTTATATTTGTCTGTTAGATAGGAGACATGTGCAATTACTTTTTAACATAAAGTGATTCAAGCTAATATTTTTATCATAAGGGGTTTTATGCTAAAAAAAAACTAAAATATAGGTGGGAGATATATAATTTACCAGAAAGTCATGTTTTGGAATGAAAATCAAGTTGAGATGGTGAAAGCCGAGGCCGATCCTGTCATGGTTCCGCAGAAGCCATTTATTACTCATTCGAGGTATTCCCGTTGTCCATAATGCTAGAGGATGCTGGGATGTGGAAAGAATGCAATTTAACCATGAAAGATTTTCAAATCAAAGTGGAGGCTGACGAACAGCCTAATGATACAGGTGGTCATCATGCTTGACGACCTGATTGTGCAGGATTTGGAGTCAAGGGCAGGTAGGTCCAGCTGTCCATTCATACAGGCTGGAAATCATGCCGCTACACCGCCCGAGCAGGCAGGGACATCCTCCCAGCCGTCTGATTATGATAAGAATGAGGAGGACATTCAGCCGCCAATTCAAAGAGCTTCCCCACCTTTCGAAGCACAAGATCCTTTGGAGGAAGTTAACCTGGGGGATGACGCAGTGCCTCGGATGACACGGGTTAGTGCCCTGCTGGATGTTGGTGCGAAAGAACGAATGATTGCTTTGGTCTGCGAGTTTAGAGATTGCTTCGTACGGGACTACCATGAGATTCCCGGATTATCAAGAAGCTTAGTGGAGCATCGACTACCCACTAAGGCTTCATTTTGGCCGCATAAGCAGACCCTTAGACGTTTCAACCCAGAATTATTGCCAAAAGTGAAAGAGGAGGTTGAAAAACTCCTTAAAGCTAACTTTATTCGAACGTGCAGGTAACCAAAATGGATTTTTTACAACGTCCCCGTAGTGAAGAAGAACGGAAAGATCCGGATTTGCAATGATTTCCGGAATCTCAATTTAGCGACACCAAAGGACGAGTACGTAATGCCCATTCCTTCATGGACGGCTACTCTGGCTACAACCAATTATATTTGGCCGCGAAGGATACACATAAAACAACCTTCTGTTGCCCCGGAGAGATCGAAATCTTTGAATGGATAGTTATGTCTTTCGGCCTAAAAAATTCCGGAGCGACCTACCAGAGGGCGATGAACGCAATATTTCACGACCTAATTGGTGCTTGCATGGAGGTATATACAGATGACGTGGTCGTTAATTCCCTAGCATTCGACTATCACCTGCTGGACCTTCGGAAAGCTTTCATATGAATGGGGCGGCATGATATCAAGATGAACCCAGTGAAATGCGCCTTCGGAGTACAGGCAGAAAATTTCTTAGGATTTTTGGTGCATCAGAAGGGCATTGAAGTTGATAAAAACAAGGCCAAGGCTGTCCAAAACCTCGCCCCCCCCCCCCCCCCCGTAACATTAAGGAGCTACAAAGCTTGATGGGGAAGGTCAATTTCTTGAGAAGATTCATTGCCAACGCGGCTGGGAGAATGAATGTCTTCTCGGTATTATTGCATGGGAAGAAAGATATATTTGAGTGGGGAACAACCCAGCAGGAAGCTCTAGACCAAATTAAGCGGGCGTTGACATCTCCTCCGGTGTTAATGTCGTCGATCATCGGAAGGGGGCTGAAACTATATATAGCCACGACTGATGACACGACAGACTGTCTTTTGGCTCAGGATTATGACGAAGGTTGGTAACGCGCTATTTATTATCTTAGTAAGACTTTAAATGAGGCCGATACTCGTTATTCTTGCATTGAAAAACTTTGTTTATCCTTATATAATGCCTGCACGAAATTAGAGTATTACTTGATGCCGGTCGAAACTAAAGTCGTATGTAAAGTCGACCTCCTGCGCTATTTACTAAACAGGCCAGTCCTACGAGGCCGTTTGGTTAAATGGGCATTGAAATTAGCATCTTTTGCGTTGACATATCAACCCCTTAAGGCCGTCAAATGACTGGCCATTGTTGATTTCTTGGCCGAACATCCAGGGATGGTTCAAGTCACGCCTGTAGACTATGTAGGGCTAGAACCCTGGATGGTAGCTTTTGACGGGTCCAGCACCGCGGGGGCAGCCGGAGCAGGCGTAATAATCTCTAGCCCGGAAGGGGGAGTGTGGCGCTTCGTGCATCAACTTCCACAAGGTGTTACGAATAACCAAGCCGAGTACGAAGCACTACTTTTGGCTTTGTGGTTCCTAGTCGCCAGGAAGGTCAGGAAGGTCGTCATCCGAGGGGATTCCTAGTTAGTTATCCGACAAGCCCTTAAAGAATTCAAGTGTAGAGATCCACGGCTCCAGACCCTTCTCCATGAAGTTCACGACCTCCTTCAGTAGCTCACAGACGTAATATTAGAGGACATACTCCGGGAAGAGAATTTGGAAGCAAACAACTTGACACAGTGGGTTTCTGGTTTCAAAATGAGAGAGATGCCTCAAGGATTCGAATGTTTACAGGTCGCACCAGACTCAGACTGGCGAACCCCTCTGCTGGAAGGATTGGTAGATCCTGGGAAGGTCACATCGAAAGCTATACAGTACCAGCTCTTGAAATATACCCAATCAATGAGGAGCTATATCGACGGAGGTCTGATAGGACGTTG